AGTTACACTTAAATTGTAAGGCTTTATAAAAGCTATAACAGTCTTTTGAATAAAGTATCAAGTATTCTAGCTTACGTTTCTGTTCTATTTCCTTTAATTACCTATTCATTTGTATCTCTTTCTAATCTTCTTCTTGTACAACCTATAACAGCAGCAACACTTAATAATAATAATAATAATAATAATAATAATAATAATAATAATATAATATAATATAATATAATATAAATGAAAATAAAAATAATAATAGTAATAATAAATAATATAATGATAATATATATAATAATAATAGTATAATAAAAATATTTAATATAAACAAAAATAAAACTAAAAAGAAAAAAAAAGTAAAGAAAACAAAATAATGGTGAGATTGTAACAAATTTTATTTTTCTTTGTCATCTTCTTCCGACAATCTGTAACAACAACAACATTTAATAATAATAATAATAATAATATAATAATAATAATATTATTGTTATTATATAAATAAAAATAAAAATAATAATAATAATAATATATAATGATAATATCATAATAGTATCATAAAAATATTTAATATAAAACAAAAAAAAAACAAAAGAAGGGATGGGACAGTAACATTTATTTCTCTTTCTCATCTTTTTCATGAGTTCGATAACAACAACAACACTTATTATTATTAATAATAATAATAATATAAAAATAATAATAATAATAATAATAATAATAATAAATAATATAATGATAATATATATATATATATATATATATATATATATATATATATATATATATATATATATATATATATATATATATATATATATATATATATATATATATATATATATATATATATATATATATATATATATATATATATATATATATATATATATATATATATATATATATATATATATATATATATATATATATATATATATATATATATATATATATATATATATATATATATATATATATATATATATATATATATATATATATATATATATATATATATATATATATATATATATATATATATAATGAAAACACACTTACCTTGGATCTCTAGTAAATCTAAATCAAGCTCATATTCTGCTTGTACAATCCAAATCAAATTAAATCAAATCAAAATCAATATTATTGAAACAAAATCTATAAATTAACTAACATAATTAAAATTGTAGATATCTTTATTACATTAACGAACAACAATATAATAAGCAAATTTCGAATATGACAATTAAATTATCTTTTTCTTTTAAGTTCATAAAGCTAACATTGATTTTTTCAAAATTTTGTAGGTACAACATTAAGATTCAAGCTCCTAGTAATATTTCCACATATTATTTGGATGAATATATAACTGCAAAAAATAAAATATATACAATGTAAATTAGTATCTAAAATACATATATCAAAATAGAATTTTTCAGAACTCTCAAATACACTAATGCACAATATCTAAAAAATAAAGTCAGACATGCATGAACTCAAAAGATTAAACTTTATCTTCAACAAAAATAATCAAAAAAAATATATTCATTTATCAAAATCAATCATTCATGCCAAAATATAAATACTGACCTTTTCAAAAAGAATAAGTCATAAATCTTTGGTCTAGTTGTGATTTGTCACCTCTTTAAAAGTGTGAACCTTTGGAGCTTAAGCCATTTTTTTAGCTCTTTCATTGTCAAAAATAAAATCAAAGCAAAAATAAAATTCAAAAAAATTAAAGTCAAACCCCAAATTCAAATTAATTTCAATCAGAGCATGAAATAAAGAGGATCTATACTCTATAAAATCAAGAAAGACAACATAAAATCAAATCATCCACAAGAGAGAATAAATAGATCTGTAAAATATTTTTTTCCTAAGATTGTGATTCTCAAATTTATGTAAAAACACAAAACCAACAAAAATAAGAAGAACAAAAAGAAGGATAAAAACTTACCTGAAGGAGATGGAAATATAATCCAGATTCAAAATGCAATCAATAATTTTTTTTAGATTCGAATAAAAAAATATAACAGAAAATGAAGAAATTTTGTAGGAGAGAAGAGGAAAAAATTTTGTGGGAGAGAAGATGAAAAAATGGATCTGTGATAGAAAGAGGGTAAGAGTGTTGACAGAGAAAAAAGATGGAGAAGATGTTTGTGCTACTCGATGCAGAAAATGAGATTGTCTCTGTTAAAAAAGAATAAAGAAAAAAAAAGTATAGATGCATAGCATTAAAATAATAGAAAAAAAAAAGAAGAAAGAAGCTTGAAGACATCCACGTGGCAACTTCTAATAACAGAAGGGCAATTAAGGTATTTTCAGAATATAAGATTTTCTTATATGATAGATGTAAAACCACTCACATAACACTCAAGTATTGCAGTTCCCAAGGGTCATAATGATTGTGCATTCAAAAAGGCGTTTGAAGTAAGACATATTGAAAGCACGGATCCTCAGGAATCTGATACGTTCATTATTTCCCTTTTAAGAATAAATAAAAGAGTGGTTTGCGACCGAGGCTAATGTGACAAACCCTTGCATTGCTACAAATATGCAAGACTATGGGGCCAATTATTCTAGGTCAACCATATGGACCCCGACCGACCATCATGGATGAGTTGCAATCCTTCCAGAATATTCTCAACACACGAGAATCATCCTAAAAGTCAGCACAGAAGATCCAAGTCTCAAGAGCATCCAACGACTCTCCGCAATTCACTCATAACTACTAGCAAGTTAGTTATTTGCTTTATACTATATATAGATAACTATATAGAAAAGACGTCAATTCAGATAACAAGTTCTAAATTCGATCTCAATTCACTATTATCCCTCACATACTGACTTAAGTATTGAAATGTTAACCTTGCAGTCAACTTCCTCTTCACCACACTGAAAACTTAAATCCGCCACTGCTTCCAATCCTTCCTCCATTTTTTGTTCTAAAAAAAATGCATGTGGTTTTTATTGACAATTAAACAAATCAATAGTCTAAGCAAGAATGATTACTTCTAAATTTTCTCATCAACTTAATAACCACACAAACAAACACAACAATTATAATTATAATAATTATACAATTAATAATCTAACAAGACGAAAAACATAAAGATGAAAGGTTTTATATACGGATGCAATCACATATTATCATAATAATTTATTATCACTATTTAAATTTTCAATAATGTTTATGTGATATCTTATTTAGGCGGATAAAATTAAAAATAAAATAAAATAAAGAATAAAGTAAAAAGAATTGCAAATTTTAAGTGTCAAAGATTTTGAAAAGTTTAATTTCATTCCTAATATAAAAATCTTCTAGTTTGAGAGTTCAAAAATTAAATTAGAGGATGTTATAGTGTTTAAATAAATTTTTTAACTATAATACCTGTTCTTATAATGTTTTAAAAATTTAACATATTTTAATAATAAATATTCAATTATTATTGTATACAAAATGTTACTTAAAAAAGTGTTAATAAAATTTCTATATTCTTAAATTTTTTTTCTCGGAATCGCTCTATCCCCTCATTTCTAATTGCAAACAAAGCTTGAAAAAACTATAAAATAAAATAAAATAAATCTTAAAAAATTTACTTCCTTTTTGCCAAAAAAATTTAATAATTAATTTACTAGACCAATATAATTAATAAATAAGTTAAAACAATTAAACTTTAAACAAAGTTCCAACTTACCAAAGAAAATCCCTATGCTTGAGCTAAAATACCTCCTCGTCCATTTTAAAAAGATTCGCTTGCCGGCTGAATATAGTTTTCTTTACTTCCTCTCCTCCAATTTATATATAGAACCAAAAAATACATTTTTTAATAAAAATTTATCATAATTATTTAAAAAATTAAATATATGATGCAAAAAAAATTTCATTAGCATTCAATAAAAACTCATTAATTTATTATATTAAGAATGTGATTTAACGAGATAAATATTATTGATTGGTTTATATATTTTTTCTTATCATTTAATCAAAAACGATTTTTTTTGGTTAAGTTAAAATCGAAAATTTAATATAAAAAAAAAGTAAAAAAAAAGTGTCCAATATTGAGAAGATGGTAGGATACATCTGAAAAGGTTCCTACGGTCCTACCCCACTAGATTGATTCAACACTCAACGGCTCAATTCAAAAACAAACAAACAAAATATTAAGAGCGTAGCACTATCACCAAAAACACGTTCCCTCCGAGTTCTTCCTTTATCAAACTGCCATTTCTCAATTACTTATTTCTCAACGCCATTTTCCAATTCTTCTCTCTCTCTCTCTCTCTCTCTCTCTCTCGATTTCTTATCGATTCTACCGCTCTTTGTGCTTCTTCCAGGTACCATCTCTTTATATCTTTTCTACAATTTTCCATTTTCATTATTCTATCGCAGATTTTTCTATCTTGTTTCATTTTCTGTTTTTCTTGTAATTATCATCCACTCAACATCAACTCAATTTTTCAATATTCTCTTTCTTTTTTTCAACTTGTACGCGACTTTGATGCAACTTTTCCACCTTTGTTTCTAGTCCTTGTCAATGCTTCGTGATTGATTCTCTTTCTTTGTGTTGTTTTACTCTTACTCAATCAATGCTTTTACATATTCTCTCTACCCTAGTTTATCTGTTTTTCCCCTTTTTACTCAATATTAGTTTTTAATCAAGGCAAACAAGTTTTGATTTTGTGAATATGGTTTCTTGTAGTGTAAAAAAATCAATGCTTTTCTCATAAGTCGATTAAGATTGAGAATTAGGGTTTCTTTTGCTTATTCCTTTAGCACTTGCTTGCATGTTACAGGGAGAAATTACAAGAGACCTAAGTGGATTAAGATTAAGAGTTTGTCAAACAAGATTTGTTACGTTTTGGTTGCTTTTGCTTGTTGTTATTGTAGTACATTTACCCTATCTGAATAACGTTGCTTACATATTTCAGGGAGAAAATACAGTGGATTCATTCTTATTTGCTGAGCGTTTACCTTGATCTGTTTCTGAGTCAATTCTGCAATAAGAGAGATAATGTTCAATTCAAAGAAATCTCCTTTGAGAGCTGGTAAACCCAACTCTGTTAGTCCTGTCAATGATGTTAAACCCTGGTCGAACCCGTTTGATTCTGATGATGATGATGAAAAGGATAACAGAAAGTATAATTCCTCAAAGAAGACTTCTTCAGAGCGAGCACTTGTTACACTAGAAGTTAACACCAACCCATTTGATGATATGGATGACAATAAGAAACCTTCATTGGTTACGAATGTCCATCAATCAGCAGACCGGAACAGGTTTAAGAATAAATTTCGTGATTCTGGTGATGATGATGAAAAGGATAACAGAAAGTATAATTCCTCAAAGAAGAATTCTTCAGAACGCGCACTAGTTACGCTAGAAGTTAACACCAACCCATTTGATGACATTGATGACAATAAGAAACCTTCATCGGTTACGTATGCCCACCAATCAGCAGACAAGAACAGGTTTAAGAATGATTTTCACGATTCTGGTGGATTAGAGAACCAGTCTGTACAGGAGTTGGAGAGTTATGCTGTTTACAAGGCTGGGGAGACTACAAAATCGGTCCACAATTGTTTGAAGATAGCAGAGAACATCAGAGAGGATGCTACCAAGACTTTAGTCACCCTTCATCATCAGGGTGAGCAAATTACCAGGAGTCACCAAGTCGCTGCAGATATTGATCGAGATTTAAGTCGGGTATAATCTTTGTAATATGCTTTTGTTCAAGTGCTCCTTCATTTTGTTTTTACCTTTGTGAAAAAAATCATGTTGCGCTTCATAGCACTCTTGTGTTTGAAACCCTTTCAAATTGGTATTGTGGACTAAGGCTCAGTTTTGAAAAACTTCCCCACAAACCCTTATGGGAAAAGAAATATCAGAAGAATCTTTTAATGCTGAGTATTTTAAACAATAGTTTCTCATGTAAATTGAAATTAGCTTTTGCTTCTCATAAAAACTTCATGTGTAAGTTGAAATGCTTTTTTATAAATGAAGAATCATGAACTTATTTTGATTAAAAAGCTTCTATAAATTATAAGGAAATCTATGCTGTGCCTGAAACTGGCTAAAATTTGATAATTATTAACAACTGGTTTCAGGGAGAAAAGCTTTTGGGAAGTCTTGGTGGTCTCTTCTCCAAAACTTGGAAAGCAAAGAAGACACGAACAATAACAGGGCCTGTTATTTTTGGAGGTTAATATTTTCTCTGCTTGTGTTTTTTTTCTTTCTAATTCTTATTTATTTTGGGCTGTATCGCAAGCATAATGTTCTTCATGTTATGTAGATGATCTGATTAGAAGAAAGGGAAACCACTTGGAACAGAGAGAGAATCTGGGATTGACTTCTGCATCCAAAGGGCAGTCTAAGCTGCGGACTCCTCCTCAGGAACCAACAGCTGCACTTGAAAAAGTCGAGGTTCGTATCAACTCATTGAAAGATTAAAGTGTTGTATAAGCTAGAGCTGAACTTGACAAAGCTTTAGTTTCTTCTGATATAAATATAACTCCAATTAATTTTTGTTGGGTTACTATAGTTTCAGCTCTATTGATCAGTTTTATTTACAGCCATTAAAAATATTTTGCATACTCTGTTCATCTTTCTGCCGTTTACCATCTAGACTCTCTGTTTACTGTTAGGTCCAACATGGATAATTTTCATTTGTGATTTCCTCTTTACATTGCACAATATTTTCTGTTGATATTGAATTAAGATGCTAAAAAAATTTACTGAAACAGTTTGAAAAAGAGAAACAAGATGATGCACTGTCAAATTTAAGTGATCTTTTGGGAGAGCTTAAAGATATAGCTGTTGACATGGGATCTGAAATTGAGAGGTTAGTTAACTGCATTCCATTTATTGTTCTATCTAATTATACAGGCAAACTAATAGTTATTTTTGGTAAATGTTGCAGACATAACAAAGCCTTGAGTCATCTAGATAGTGATGTGGATGAGTTGAATTTCCGAGTGAAAGGAGCTAATCAACGTGGTCGTCGTTTACTTGGAAAATAAGATTGATGTTCAACTTTTGATCATTGTTTTTTCATACCTTAATGGATCCATCATTTGGGTTCAAACTTTTAGTTTACTCTTACTGAACCTTTATTTTACTCTTACTGAATTTGCAACATATTAGTGTTGCCTTGTTATGAATTTTTATTGTAGAATCAATCTGTTCATAAAAACTAACAAACCTGTAGTGATAAGTACCTAACCTTGCATGGAGTTATATTTTTCTTCATTGGGCTAAAATTCTCTCATAGGGGAGGGGGAGGACTTTGGAGGACTTTAAATAAACTTATAAATCATTTTCCTCTATAATATTACCAAAAGAAAGAAAATTACTACTCATAAGTTGAAGTATTATTATCTCCTATTTAAAAACACTCTTCTAAACATGGCGAGGGATTCTCTCCCCTCTGTCTTCCTTATTCTGTTAACTAATTCACAGTTATGTAGAGTATTATCTTCTTGAATAGAAAACAAAAATCACATATTAAACTGAAAAAGAAAAAATAGTAGTAATACAAAATATGAAAAAAAACAAAGACTTCAACCCTGATAATAGGCTGAAAACAAAAACTAAATAAATAATCACAATCAGAAGGAAACAAACAAACAAAAGACATCTAATCAACAGACAAACAAAAGACAACCAATCAATCAAATTACACTATCTTGAGACATCTGACAAGACAAACTTTTAGAGAGAGCAAACTGTAGGAAGGTAGTATCAAACACGCTGCAAAACAAAGAGAAGGGGAGGGTGGGGGGCAGTTGACCATTCAACACACCCCTAACTATCTAGCTGTTTATGTGGGTTCCGTTTTCAATCAAACCTCTAGGAAGAGCAAGTTGTATGAAGGTAGCATCAAACACCTACACAAAACAGAAGGAGGGCAATTGATCATCCAACACACCCCTAACTACATAGCTATTTAAGTGGATCTCGCTTTCAGTCAAACCTCTAGAGAGAGCAAGTTGTAGGAAGATAGCATCAAACACCTGCACAAAACAAAAGAAGGGCAGTTGACCATCCAACACACCTTTAAATACCTAGCTATTTAAGTGGGCCTCGCTTTCAGTCAACTATAAAAATGACAAGATTTGAAACATGAACTTGAACCCACTTCCACGCCAAGCTAAATCATAGACATCCAATGATTAACCGTCAAACTTTCTTGGCATAAAATAATGTTACTTTCTAAATAATTCAGACTATAGTGTCAGATCGAGACCATGCCTAAAGACGTTTGTTTTCCAAAACCAAAACTGTGAACAAACTCAAAACCCCCTAACGTCGAGTAAGACAAAGACTCCGAATGTACAACCCACCTAAAAACTATCAAATGTCTGAAGCCACCTCACACAAAACAAAGGAATAATCCACCAACTCCACTTGTCCACTGCACACTAAGCACCCCCCAAAACAATGGGGGCAGTTGACCATCCAACACACCCCTAACTATCTAGCTATTTAAGTGGGTTCCGTTTTCAGTCAAACTTCTAGAGAGAGCAAGTTCTAGGAAGGTAGCATCAAAAACCTACACAAAACAAAAGGAGGGCAATTGATCATCCAACACACCCCTAACTACATAGCTATTTAAGTGGATCCCGCTTTCAGTCAAACCTCTAGAGAGAACAAGTTGTAGGAATGTAGCATCAAACATTTGCACAAAACAAAAGAAGGAAAGTTAACCATCCAACACACCTCTAAGTACCTAGCTATTTAAGTGGGTCCCGCTTTCAGTCAACTATAAAAATGACAAGATTTGAAGCATAAACTTGAACCCACTTCCACGCCAAGCTAAATCATAGACATCCAATGATTAACCGTCAAGCTTTCTTGGCATAAAATAATGTTACTTTTTAAATAATCCAGACCATAGTGTCAGATCGAGACCATGCCTAAAGACGTTTGTTTTCCAAAACCAAAACTGTGAACAAACTCAAAACCCCTAACATCGAGTAAGATAGAGACCCCGACTATCCAACCCACCTAAAAAACTAACAAATGTCCGAAGCCACCTCACACAAAACAAATAGATAATCCACCAACTCAACTTGCCCACTGCACACTGAGCACCCCCCAAAACAATCTCCAACATAGTTTTACGCCTCAAAAGGTTTCACATAGTTGACAATCTATCCTAAAGAAACGATCAAGAGAACACAACAACTTTAAAGGTGCTTAGCTCTTTCAAATCTTAGAGAACCCTTTTAAAACCCTTTCCAACCCACCATCCTTTATGCCCTGACGGAACCACCAATGTGTCATAATAACTCACCGAAAAACCCTAACCGAATATGGCTTTTAAAGGCAGGCATCTTCTTGGACACATCTAACAATACCTAAAATAAGGTATACCAAATCCACTAAGAGCTCTTTCCCCAGACTAAAAAAGATCGTCTCCACCTAAAGTTCCAAACTCAGACATTCCCTTCCCAAGCACCCATAAAATCCTCCACCTATGACTTCTGCTCCGAGACAAGAAATAATCTCTTGAAAGAAACACACAGAGAGTAGTACCTACCCATACATCATGTCAAAACTTAGTTTTATGCCCATCCCAATCCCCTTCACACAAGAGGAGGAAAATCAGTCAGATGCGTGATCCGGAGGAGTCCTAGAAGAGAAACACCTTTCCACTAATGAGACGATCTCCTAAGAGCACAATTCCTACCTCCCAATGGGGATCCAAACCCATCTGACCCATACACTTCCTTACTAATATCTCTCAAAAGTGAAGGCAAGTCCAAAAAAATCCTCCACATCCAATTACTAAGCAAGACAAGATTAACAAGCCTAATGTCTTTCACCCCTAATCCACCTACCCATTTGACTTTACAAAGATCCCCCCCCCCCCCCCCATGCAACCTTAACACCTCCTTTAGAGCCCCTTAGAGAAAATGTCTCTACAAACCAACCAAATTCTTCCAAACCAATACTTCCATATTCGTGAAAGAAAGAAAGAACACTGGGTTGAGTTCAAGACTGAATCCAACAAAACCACCCTACCACTTAAATTGACCAATATATTATTCCAAGAGGCCAACCTCTTAGAAACAAGATTAATTAAGGATCCTAAGTCCTTTCTTTCTTCGGATTCACACCTACAGGGAGTCCCAAATACTTAAAAGGAAGGAAATATACCTTATAGTGTAAAAACCCTCAGCCGAATCCAAGAAAAACCTACCTTCATTCACTCCATATAGACAACTCTTGGCAAAATTCACATTAAGGTCTGAGGCAAGCTCGAAACATCTGAGAACCACCTTAATAGTAAACAGATTCTCAACAAATGACACCCCACCAATACCATTTCATTGGCATATTCAAAACGAGACACCTCAAGCCCTTCCGACCCCACTTTGAACTCTTGAAACATAACAACTTAAATCTATTTTTCAAAGAAGCACTAAGACCCTCCATAACCAAAAGGATAAGAAAACGAGCCAATAGATCTCCTTGCTTCATTCCCTTTTGAAAACAAATCTCCTCTGTTTGACACCCATTTAGCAAAACCGAGAGGCTATCCGGAAAAAAAAAACACACACATGCAACCAAGCCCTCCATCGATCATCAAAACCAAACCTTCGTAACATATAATCCAACAAATACCAACTAACAGAGTCATAGGCTTTCTTAAAATCAACTTTAAATAGAAAATACTCACGTTTAAACACCTTAGCAAGATGCAAAAATTCATTAAGAGCAACCATTCCATCCACCAACTACCTCCCGTTTAGAAAATTTTACTGTTACGAGAGATTAGTTTCTCCATAAATAACCATTGCCACCCTGGAAGCCAACACTTTAACCACTAACTTTTACAAGGATCCATGAAGAGAAATAGGTCTAAATTCTCCTAGTTCCAAATGACTTTCCACTTTGAGGATAATAACGACAAAAAAGGTGGTCAAACTCTTGGGTAACACCGCATTCGAAAAGAACTAATCAAACATCACAAAAACCTCATCCTTGATTAACTCTAGAATTTCTTATAGAAAGAAAAATTGAAACCATCAGGCCCCAAACTCTTAGTCCCATTCAATCTCTGCAACAACATCGTCTAGTTCAGAAGACAAGAACCCGACCGAAAGAGACTCAACCTCCGATGAGGAAATAATAGAGAGAGAAACCCCAACAAGATTTTGCCTAACAACCTTTGAATCAGTAAATTGATCCTGAAAGAACCAACTAATCTCCTCTCTAACCTTAAAAACCTTATTTAGCAAAATCTCTCAAGTACAAAGAGCAATCAAGTTATTCCTCCTACTCCTCCGCCTAATACAAGCGTGAAAAAAATCCAGAATTATAGTTTTCCTCTTCTAGCCAAGCCAATTTAGACCTTTGGAAAATTTGAGAATCACGACAGTTGATAAGACCCCACAACTCTTGACACATCTTCAATCTACTGACAAACCCGTCTTAGGAAAGAGACGCATACTCCACTTTCAACTCCAACTCTTGAAGTTTATCCGAACAAACTTTAATCTTAAAATCCAAATTACCAAACATCTCCTTGTTCCAAACCTTAAAAGTCCCTTTAAGAGCTCTCAATTTATCATTCAAGTTACATGCCATCCAACCCTCTCGAACCTCCATCTGTCAGGACTCACATACCACCTTCTAAAAACTAGTGTCCCTTAACCAAAAAATTTTAAACCAAAAGGACTTTGGACCCTAGAGCCGAGAAGAATACTTCATAAGAATCGAGTAGAGGTCGGAGACATCTCGAGCTAATGCCCAAATCTTCCTTGACCTCACTCCTCTTCCAACTCAACCGATAAGAAAATCTGATCCAACCTAATCATAGAGATCCCATTTAAATGAAACTAGGTAAACCTCTTACACGACAGAGGTAAATCCATTATGTTGGCTCGATTAAGAGTTGATTTGAAGTCCCCCAAAATACAACAGATATACTCCTAAAGCCACTCACGAGCTCGAACCAAATGATCATATATCACTCTCTTCTCCACTAAAAAACACTTGGCATAAACATTAA